TTCAGCTATTTTTGGATTAAAAACAATCCATTATGCTGGATCATGTTTCAGCACTGGATTGGTCTTTAGTTCATCAATGAATATTTGTGGAAAATACTCAATGTATTTATTTTTAACTCAGCAGCTATTAGATTATTATTTCTTTAAGTGTGAAATCTCTGGAAAAAATACTCTGATCAGTCACCTTTGGTTCTCATCTGGTCTGTCCCTGATTTGCACCCATTTCCAACAAGCAGCCATCTTTTCCTTCTGACCATTTCTCTCTATCCGTGTCAAACTAAGGGCCTTCTCTGGAGCCATGCATGCCGGACCGGATTCAGCATGTTAAACAGAGCTGTAGCAGGTGGTATTATTGGACCCGGTCCCCTCATCTCCCCCCACCTCCATCTCTCCCTCTCTTGCTCCTCATCTCCCAGTAAGCCCTTATTCATTTCTGCGTATGGGCAGGAGGGTGAACATGGACTCGTTGGGTCTTTTTGTCCTGCTAATACCTACGTTTTTCCACTGGACAGCTGCCGCTTCTGCTGGTAAGATGTTCATTAACATGAAAATAGGCCTTGGGTGATCATTTATTGTCTGTATTTTGGGTTTAGGAGGCAGAGAGTGAGCTTTAGTGGAGCACTAATCATTCCAGAGTGAATTTGTACGGATTTTGAGAACTGCTGACCACTCTCTTTGAGCGTCAACAACTTTTCTTTTAGGAGTGTAGGGTGAAAAGTGAAATTTGAGTTTGAATTTCAAGTATTTTATGGGAGGCCTTTCTTGTTTTCCTTTTAGATGAAATCAACTGGAGCTATTCTGGTAAGTTCATGCTTCATAATATTCTTTCAATAGCTAAATCTCAGTCAAATGTATAGCAACTTTTTTTTCCATATCCAAATGGGAATAAACACGATTGTTGGTTAGTGTGTGGATGTAATTATTATTTTGGAGTCAAGCTTTTAATGTCCATGCTAACAACTGGACAAATCCTGAAATAAATAAAATAAAAATTACTTTTACAGCAGTTTTTCTTTACCTGATGAGTAAAGAGAAGTTTTTTGAGAATAACAAAACAATGTTCCCCAACAACTGGAAGTTCTCATAACTTTGGGAGAATTTGTGTCTTTGGCCTTCTGTTTCACTCCCTCTGTTTTCCTCTCTTTCCCTCTCTGTCTGTATTAGTTACAGTTGAACAGGCTGGCATGAGCACAGCAATCACACAGGGTGTTGGAAAGGGGGCTGGAGGGTGATGTGAGGAGCAAAGCAGGAAGAAAGACAGAGGGAAGAAGGCAGGTGCACGAGGATGAGCGTGTTGCACTGAGACGGGACGGGTTTGAGGGAAAAGCCTACCGAATCCTGCAACGTATTGTTGCTGCACACAATAACCTATGTGTTTATTGTGCTGTCGACGCACACTGGCTGCCTATGAGCCGCACAATGAGTGTGTGGGAATGAAAGGGGCGCACAGCCGAGCACCCTCTGCATGTATTCACAGGAGCAACACTAATGCATCGTTCTTGCAGTCATTTTTCAGAGACTGCTTTGTATTTCCACATAACTGTTCAGACTTTATAAGAATACATGGATGTGCAAAAACATGATTTACTTAATTAACTTCCTGTGATCCAAGCCATTCACCGCAGCTGAATAAGAGGTGGAGAATTGTCTGTATTACTCTCCCAAAATGCAATGCTATTGTTGGCTTTTCTGTCACACTAGAAATTAATGACATGCTTCATCGTTTGTGTGCATTGGTTTCACGGCTGCGTCCAGGACAGGAGCAACGTTCTTGGTGAGACAGTTAAACGGCTGTAATTGCTTCAGAATATTTGGCCTCCAGTGGTTACAATGGTGAAGATGAGGAGCGAAGCCCGGCAGAGTTTCAGGGATGTCAGCGAACGTGTGATGTGTGTGAAATCCCCACCTTCCTCACATCGAGTGCACTGTAAAAAAAATTCTGTTGTTTTTACAGAAAAAATCTGGCAGCTGTGGTTTGCCAGAATAATTTTGTAGAAAACACAGTGAACATGTAAACTGTTTTACACCAAACAGTAATTACAACAGTGTTAAATTGTGAAATAAACAGATTTTCCCATAGTTTTATACAAATTTGAACTGTGATTTGAAAAGGTTTATTTTGGTAATAAGACAGTTTTATCAAGTAATTTTAACCAACTTTTTCTGATGAATTATCATTATAATGCTGTTATTTTACACTTTTTTTCCAGTAATTTACCCATTTTTTGTTTGTTGTACAAAAAAAGTTCATTTAGTCCTACTGATAATTACCTTTGAATAACAGATTATAACTGTAAAATGTCAATTTAAAACATTTTATTAATACTTTCTGAAAAACTGAAATTTGCTTTAATTTTTTTTGTAATAATTCTATTTTTAAATATTTATAAGCATCAAATTTCAACCAACATTTCCCACTTAAATGAAAATTTAAAACACAAGGAAGCCCAGTATAAATTGTATCTATGATAATCTTAAAAAAATAAACATACACTTACATGCCTTTGAAATATTTATTTTAATGAAGTTCTCATTTGTCTTTTCTGAACATCATGAAGCATGAACAAATGCACCTGCTGAATACATATAAATTTCTTCAACCTTTTTAACTTATCAGACAGTATGAGAGCCAACTTTCACACCCTTTTTTTGGAGAGGGGGCTTGAAGATTATAACATACAATAAATTCTATTTCCAGTATACATTTTAATAATAATGTTTGTTTGCTTCAAATTTTTTTCTTTTTTAGAAGCAATTCTATTTCCAAATATCTATGAATAATCAAATTTCAACAAACATTTACCAGTTAAATGGAAATTTAAAACACAAGGAAGCCCAATATAAACTATATCAATAATGATAATTCTAAAATTTTTTTAGAAACAAACATTTTAATTGAAAACATATTTACAATGAAATTCTCATTTGTGCTTTCTGACATGGTGCAAAATTCAGCCACTGAACAAATATAAATATGTCTTTTCAACTTTTTAACTTCAGAAGGCACGGTGTGAGATGCAACATACATTTAGAAATCTATTCAGCTCTGTTAAGATTAAACACCGCCTTGAGAACTCACTGACTTTAGTCCTTTCTCAAACATCACGCCACTCATGATCTGAAAGTTCCTGGATCAAGGTGAGTACACGGGGGTTCACACGCAGTCTGGGTTTACGGGTTTCTTCCACCTTACTGCCCTTGTCTGGGTTGATTGAGAAGAAACACCTTACGATAAAGAGGACAAACAGAAAACTACATCAAAATGTGCTTCACAATCAAACATTTTATTCAAGACATAAAAGTTGTCAAAAGTCAAATTTAACTCCCTACAATTTAAAAAAAAAACAAAAACAAAAGCTCATACCTCTGCAGAAACTCCAGTGTAGACGCCAGCCCCGATGGATAATGTATGTTAAAACAATAATAGCTCCCAAACATCATGCAGAGGGCAGAAATAAAACAGGAGATGTTGTTGTTTCCAATCTGTTGATCCACACTCAGCATGAATCGTTTAGCATGGAAGCAGGATTGACCTAAGGAGAAAGAACAATAAATTTAGACTCCTGATACAACAAAACAATGACATTCATATGAAAAATAACAAATTAAGTAAAAAGTACAAAAAAAATTAGTATAGTAAAAGCATAAGAAATAATTGGAAAAAAAACAAAACAATATTAAACAAAATGCCAGATGGACAAAAGCGCAAAGAAAGGGACAAGATAACAAAAAAGAAAACAGGTCAAAGAAACTGGAAAAACAAAAATGAACTCACCACACACAATGATAGTGGGAGTCAAGGAGACGTTCTCCATCTGTACTTCTTCAGCCAGGCATGTGTCCTCCACACAGAAGAACATTGCTTCTTCATTTTCATTGAAGTAGCAGAGAAGTAGGAGCATCATCTCTTTAACATCTTCAGAGTAACCGTCCAGTTCTCCCCTTAACATCTTCAACTTTGTCTGAGCCTGGAAAAAACTTTTGTTTTTGTTCACACAAACAGTGTTCATGTAGTTCAGCAGTCTTTTTCCCTTCATATCAATGTTCCTCATGAAGGTTTCCTTCAATCCAAGTCCAGTAAGTTCCTTGTAGTGTACAGCCATCCCAATGTCATGAAATAAAACAGGCCAGGCTTCCAAGACATCTTGAATACTTTTCCCTGGTTAATATCTTTGCGCTGTGAGTAGAAAGTTGTCCTCAGTAATTCTTTCATCTCCTCAGGATTGGCCTCCTTCTGCAGAGACATCATCTTGAGCTTGTCCTTCTTCTGTTGCTGACTTTCAGCAGTTTCTCCAAGAGGAAGGAATTTTACATTCCAGTTTATACACCCATAGGTGTCCTGAATTGCAGCTCTCTGTTCCTGAGGAATTCATCTGTGTCAGAGTTTTCAGAGCAGTGCTTTCGCTTTCTTATTTTAGGCATTGTAGATCGCTTCGCATTGTCAATTCGATATTGAAGTTGTTTGACGAGTGAATGATAGCCAGGGCCAATGACATCTCCATCGATAACGTCTTGTAGAGATTTTGGATATTTTGCCACCATCTTCTTTGCAACCTCTGTAGAACTCCTTTACCCAAGTAAGAACTTTTTCGCATCATTTCAGACACCACAATCCTGACCATCTCCTTCCTCATTTTTGGACTTGGGCGTTTACCTCTCTCTAATGCCTGCATCAGTTCTTCTGAGAACTTTTCCCATGGTATCTCAAAGGTGTCCATCCAGTCTGCTGCAGATGTCTGGTTGCTGCTGGAGGAGTTTGATGACACACTTAGCGGGGACGAAGACTGCTGTGATGGAGGAGTATCTGGTGATGCATTACTTGAGGACCCTGCTGGTTTCAGGGGTCCGGCCTTCAAAAACACAAAACAACCAATAAGTTATCAAAACTGAATAAGAATATCGGTGTTTAATGGTTGACTTTTGCTTTCTAGAATTGTACTTACATCTTAATTTCCAAGCAGCAAGTGCCTTTCTGGCTTGAATTGGTCTTAATGCTGACAGCAAGTCCTTCTCAACAATGAACTGGAAGTCATCATACGTTTTCTACTCCAATTGACTGTAAAGTCTCCTCGAGAATGTCTTTTGAAGCCTCTGCAAGTTCGGGCAACACTTCATTGATAGCACTGCGTAAAAATGTTTGCTCAGCCATTTCTGGAATAAAATCAGACAAAATAATGGTAAAAAAACAAGATCACCATAATATAACATGTATTCAACTATGTACAAATTAAAGAGACTCATACTTAGTGTCAAACAAAATGTGCCTGATTCACACTTTTTATTCATGTACATCCTTAAATTTTTAGTCAAACTTCTTTCCCTGTTTTTTCTTAATTATTTTTGTTCACATCAACATATCTGTTTTAAGTGGACTTTCCATGATGGTATATGAAGACATTTTTATTTTGAAAACACACTGTGTTTCAGAGGAACAACTTGTTGTCCATTTACCCTGATAACAGGTCAAAGGGTAAAAGTCAACCAAGTCATTTATGTTAATACACAAAATGCTTGAAGTCTGTTTTGTCACTGAATACAGATGGTAATCAGGATGATAGACAGCTGTTTGTACATCCATAACACAATACACATCAGTTTCATTTTGAATCAGAATTAAAACCAGCTCTCCAAACTCCATATACTCATCATTCTTTGAAACCAAGAAATGCCCCTTTTTATAAACTGTCCCTTATTTGTATCTCTGTGGAAATACTTGTGTCTTTTTCAGAAAATCCCAGGTCTTTTACTGCGTGTTTTATTTCATCACTGTAGAGGCTTGAGTAAAAAACACAACTGTCCTTGACCAGCAGCAGCTGATTGCATCTAGGGCCAGCTGAGATGTAAGCCTGAAACATCTGGTGTCTTTCTGATAGTGTCAAGCATATGTTTTTAAAATTTTTCAAATGCCTTGCACCTTTTAAAGTAGACATGTTTACTCTCAAAACGCATTGTCCACAACCTAATCAAAGGTCCAAATTTCAAAATTAGGGCTGGATAGTGCCGCAAAAAATGATGTTTTGGTTTAAGTGAAGTTTCAGGAAATAAAGATTTTCTTGATTCCAAATATTCTTGGATTATTATTTCAAGAAAGGCAACCTGTGGCAAAGAAATTTGTTGTGCACAAATCAAATCCACAATGTCTTTGAGCTGGAGCGTTGTCTGCCAAACATTATCTTGTGGATTTTGTATCTTGTCACCAATAATCACTGGCAACAATCTCAGCAAGTTCCAGTTTTTGAACAGCTTGACCTGAAAGCCTGATTGCCTCAGAGTTGACAGGGCACGGCTTTGTGAGAGCATCTGATCCTTTGTACTTGAATTGCTTGATTCTACGGTTGAACTGGGAATATGTAAACCATTTCCTTGTTTTAACGAAATATTTCAAGTACAGTGCAAGATCATAGGATACGACACCCTCAAATAAGTCATGGCCTAAGCAAGGTGGAAGACCAGGTTGGCAAACATGAAAAGATTTAGTGAGTTGAAGTCAGAGTTTACCTTGACACCTTTGTTGTCTTGAATGCTTCCAATCTCTCGATGATGCACTGCCAAATTGTAAGCTGCAGGGGTTCGCTGTGGACCACAAGCATTTGGATCATTAAGAAAGTCTTTTCTTGTGATTTCACAGTACCTACAAAAGTACTGAGAAGTACTAAAGTTTTCAGTAAACCCACCAATGCTGTGTGATCCTAAATTGTCACCAGCAATACAGAACAGTGCTCCTTTGACTGTTTCTTCACCTGCAATAATGCCATGTTCCTCTAAATCTCTCAAATCCATGAGAAGTTCAGAGCAAACCTTTGCAGTTCCAAACTGTTTTAAATCGTTCTCGAAACACAATGAAACTAGAGACATGTGATCAGTGCTTGACCGCACATGAGCAGGTAAGTTAGCCACAGATAGATAAATAGCGACAACTTTGTGTTTCTTCTTTGCTGAACCAAGGGGGTTAACAATTTCAAAGGCATCTTGGTAGAAATAAGCTTCAGGCACCCAGGATTTTCAATGAAGAACTGGTTGCACTTGAAGTTTGGCCATCACTTATGTCACAGAAAACATCCGGGTGTGAGTCATTGGACTGTTCCAACACTGAATTCTTCCATAAGTCTGATTCTAAAAGTGCACTTAGTGTCTGTTTAATGGGTATGTAGTAAGAAAATCTCTGGGTCATGTTTTCATCACTTCCTAAAGATATTTGCTTTGGTTCTGTGTATTTGAACATGTTTTTGAAAGTCTGAGTTCTTGAATATGTTGTTCTCAGTGGCCCATGATGACAAACAGAAAATAAATCAGAATCTCTTACACAATCACAGATTTTAGCTACAGCATCATCTACAAGACATGTCATCTTTTAAAAGCGACTTTAGTTTTAGTTAAAGTGTAATCCATTCCCAGCTCATGCACATTTTGCATCTCTTCAACGATGTTCTGTATCGTGGAAGCTGGAAGAAGCAGCTGTCCTTGAAGTTTCAGGTAGAAAAGACCCAAGTTTTCTGAGATAATCCTTGTTGAAATTTGGAGATAATTCGTGACTTTCATTAGTCAGAGCATCATTAAAGCTCTCAGAAGGCCCATCGTTTTCTGATAGACTAACGATCTTATTTGTAGTTTCCTTGTACAAAACATCAATGTCATCCACAAAAATATCTCTATGTTTACGGGACATATGAGCTGTGAATGATGATTTGACGCTGAAAACTTTTTTGCAGGCTTTTACTGGACATGCTACAGGCCGCCCCTCCATTATATGCTCCTTCAAATGAGCAACGAATTCTTTCACAGTTTGGCTTTGGTGCCCACACAATGAAATGGTGCATTTCAATTTAGCAACAATGGCTTTATCTGATTTGGGTTGTGAAGCCACATTGTGAACTCGGTAAAAATGAGTTTTAAACGCTGCATATGTACAAAATGTCCGCTTACATTCTGTGCCGAGGCATTTGAATACACAACTGGGCTCGTTTCTGTGCACTCTGCAATGCAACACATAGCCCCTCAATGATTCTAGTGTTTTACAGCAAAACGTACATGTAATCATGTTTAAACAATTTCAACCTATCTAACAAGTTACACATGTTGCAGGTGTAGCAAAAAATTATTCTACTGCATATTGTTCCAAGAAGCAATATGACGCCTAAAAAACAACAACAACAAAAAAAAACACAAATTACCGTGGCTTTTACGTTAGAAGAAAATAAAGCTTAACTTACATTTGCTGAAAGCTGACGAGGTCCAAACAGCGTTCTTTTCTTTGTCAAGGTTTGAGCACAATTCAGCTTCTTCTGAGATGAGAACCGTTGGACGAACTTTTTCAAAACAGCTTTCAGGCGCCAGGTAAGCGAACCAATTAGAGAGCAGGTAAGCGAACCAATTAGAGAGCAGAACAGACCGGAACTTGAGCACAAAGCGGTGATCTCTGTCTTTCTTGCAGTAGCCGAACTTTGAGCTTATAATGGCAACGGTGAAGGTAAAAAATCCAGTGTTAGCAAAAATAATAAATAAAAATAAAATACATGTACCAATAAGCAAGTACATGAATTCTTTTTTGATTCAGGTGTTTCCTCCACGTTAGTCGTGAAATATGAAGAAATTATCCAATCAAAATTGACAAATAATAAGTAAATGAATTAAAGAGGAAATGACAATCTAAAGAAGTGGGAAAACACAAGTGAATAGATAAATAGTGAACAAAATTGGAAGTAAATAATGTGGAATCATAATTACTTAATTCCACATTAATTTCCAAATCTATTAATTTATTCATTTATTTTATTGTCCATCTGGAGTTGGGTCACAGGGGCAACAGCTTAAACAAGGAAGCCCAAACTTACTTCTCCCTAGCAAAAAAAAGCTAAGCTAGCTTCCAATTCATTTGGATTTAATCATCACAGAATGTAAATGTTAGTTTTACACTGCTGAAATGTAAGAATGTTGTGAAGGATACAACTTTTTTCATTAACAATAAAAAATGTGTATTTTCTACAACTAAATACAATATTATTTACAATTTTCTATTTTAAAATGTACAATAATTTTCGGTTCTACATTATACAATATCATACTGGTAAATGAACAAAATATTATTGTGTTTTTCTTTACAAAATTTTTCTGTCATGATTTCACAGATTTTTACTGTTGATTTTACAGACTTTTTTTACAGTGTGCATCTGTGTGCCGACAGGAGGCCTTAAGCCCCTGAAAACATTGTGCAATTCAAGTATGGCACAAACCAGCCCGCAAGCAAAAGATGTTTTTGTAGAAATTTTGGGTATTTTTTTTAAGGGTTATCTACATTAGCTTACAATAAAATATCAAGCCTTAGGTACATCAGTGATTATGTGAGGGTATGGATTTCTGTGTGAGTCTTTGGTTAATTTAGTCCCTCTCTGCATCTCTTGTGCTTCTTGTTCTCAGCAGTTTCTCCTTCCCCTGATTATCACCTCCTGTATTGATACTCACCTGTATCTGCGTTTCGCCATCGGATCTGTCGTATGTCGTGTCGTCAAGTTTTCCACTTGCTACCAGTGTTTGCTGCTGGACTTTTATACCTGCTTAAGATCTTCATTAAATAATCCACTACCTCTCAACTACCACAAATCACGACGGTGTTTCTTTTATTAATTTAGTATTTACTAATGACATTTTCAGGACCACAAATATCCTGAAAGTTTTATTTCTAAATAAATAAATTGAATAAAAACAAACAAACTGACTTGGGTACTAAACCTGGCACAATTTATAAAGTGTTTACTTAAAAAAATAATCATAGATTTCCTGTTCTTATTGAGAATAGACTGAAAAAAATATTCAAACCAGCAAAATAGACAGATTAAAACCAAAAGAAGTGTGGTAAAGATGAATGGAGTAAGAATAAATGCATTTTTATGTTTTCATGTCAGCCTTTGAGCTCCTACGCTTTAGCCAATCAAACATAATCCATCTTGTAGAATAAAACTGCACATATGTAAATATATTTGTATTCATATTTTTAGAACATTAATCTTTATGTACTTTGGGGGATTTAATGTGATGGAACATAACATTGAGGAGTGGAAGGAAATTATAGATGATTTTCAAAATCTTTAAAAAGGATCCAAAAAATGTCATTTTGTATTTATCACACACTCTTTACACACCTGTTAATGAAATAAACCGCGAGTTACAGCCTCTGTTGGAGAACATTGGTGAGCAAACGGCATCATGAGGATTAGATCAGACAGGTTGGGGAGAAAGTACACAATGTTCAATCTGCAGACGTTCAATGGTGCAAAGGATATTCCCAATAAATGGACTCAAAGCTGCGATTGCTGTGAAAGTTTATTCCATGCAGCGTGGACTCAGGGGGGCTGAATCCAAATATCTGCACACTGTTTACAATTTTATTTGTAAAGCATTTTAAAAGCCATATTTTTTTTCCTTGTACGTTAATATGATGCACTTGTTCTCGCATAAAATCCCAACAAAATACACTGAAGGTTGTGATTTTAAAGCCGTAAACATACTCTTTTCAAAACACTGCCTTTGGGTTTATGTGAATAAAAAATGTGAGTAGCATTCTTGTTTTCCAAGGCATTTCTCCCTTTGCAAATTGAATTCAGGTTCTGCGTCTCGCATGTCACATCCTCTTTCTTTCTATCCTCATGCCGCTGCAGAAGGCCTGTCCTTTTCCTCTGATCAAACTCATGCTCTCCTATTTTCTTCCCACTTCTGTTGCCCAACTTAACAACATTCTGTTGAAAAGTGGTTTTATTCACTGAATAAATGAGGTGTCTCTGAAATATTTGGCATAAGTAAAATCTAAGTCAACCCATTTCTTCAGTGCATATAAATAACCTTCAGTGAAATACCGTATAAGCTAAAAAAACAAAAAAACAAACTCCAAACCATATTTTTAAATTAACAATAAAAAAAACTACATTCAATATTTAAACATCATCAAATAAAGCTGAAATAAAATTAACTGAGGCTAAAAGAATGAGCTATTGAATCAAAACAAAGGATAGTACAAGAAAATGGGTTTGAGAGAAATTGTGACTACTGAAGGTTAATTTCACTTGAAATGTAGAAACAATTTCACAGTTAATTTAAAAGAATAAATGACGTTTAAAAAATATGCCTTCTTGTTAGTTCTATACGTTGTACTCATAAAACGCAGGACTGCCTCTACTTTATATGGCTACTTTATTTGCCCCAAGCTGCAGTATGTTTTGGGATTGTTCACTCTGGAGTAGCTGTCCATGGACGGACAGACATCCATAGTCACGTTTCTGAGCTTCTGCTTCTTCTTAATTTTAGTAGCAGATTCCCTGAACTTCTGCGCCTAGACAAAAAGAATTACCCAAAATGTTTGGACAATAAAATTTCATAGATAAAATATATTAAATAAATTGTGTTTTATGCATTACAAAATGAAACATTTCCAGGTGCAAAATGTATAAATAAAAGCAGAGAAATCTGATTTTAATGCAAAATATGTTAAACTTTATGCTGTTTCATCCAGCATTTGTTTCAAGAGGCCACAGCTCAATTTTTAACTAGCATTCAGAGGTTTGAACAGATTTTTCCTCTTTTTTGGCTTTACCTTAATGGCTGCCCGTTTCTTAGGATTTATTTTAAAGTTATTTTTTGAAATCCTGTCACATCTCTCAGCTATTGCACCCTTATGCACCTACCGTTCTTGAAGGTCAGCTGATGAGCTGCTCCTCACTGTTCCTCGGACTGAGTGTAAACTTGGATCATGTCGTTGAATGATTTGGGCTCAGATATTAGACAGAACTGTCTGCTTTTAAATCTCTTCTGAAACCCCATCTCTTTTCCCTGGCCATTTCAGGTTATTTTTGTTGATTTACAATTTTTCATATTTTATTTTTAGGGCAATTACATCTTGCATTTGTATATTTTGTTTTTAACTTAAGTACTTACAGCACTTTGGCCCTGTGATTTACAAATCGTCACATGAGACAATATGGGATCCTTTCACATCAGAAGTTTTGTTTTTGTCAGTAAAAGATCTCTGGAAAGAGGAACCAAACATACCTTTTTGTGTTGAAGCAAAGAAAAACTCTTTAAATACTAGTAATAGTCAAAATTGTATTAATGCATAAAGACTCACATGAATACACACAGTGAAATGAAGCAATTTTTCAGTCTGGCAATTCTAACTAAACTTCTTCTTTAGCTCAGTTTGCATTTCTACTTACTGAATTCTACAATGAGAGATTTAAAAAATATATATTTTTAAATTCTTCCCTCAAAGTCAGAAGAGTGGACACGATGATTGCTGTGCACTAAGTTGACTAAATTGTAGTTGCTCTTAAACGTGTCCTGCATCATTGACTGTGTGTGGTTGTGCATGTCTTTTGAAAAGGATTCAGCTTCCTCCCATGAGGCCATGAATGTAAATAGAAAATAGTAGAATAACTGTCCTGCATGGCTGGAGGCCGATCAATGGAGGCTTTTCACTGCGTTGCTCAGCGCCAGTGAACTGTGTGATTGGGTGACATCACTGTTTCTGTCTTTTCTCCGCTAAAGGTTTTGCTGGTCAGTCTGAGTGGTCAGCGTATTTCCCCGACTGTGGTGGGACTTCCCAGTCACCTGTGGATGTGATAACCACTCAGACTAAATATGACCCCAGTCTGATGCCTGTGACTCCGCTAGGCTACAGTCAGCACGGCAACCGGCCCTTTTCAATGCACAATAACGGACACACAGGTAACTTTGACAGCAAGCTCATTTGGTCCCGTTAAGAGCTTCTGTTGTGTTGTGCATTTCAGCTGTTCTGTTTACCCTGCACTCAGACGTAACCTGGCAGCACATTTTTACTGCCAATTGAGACATTGGGTAACATTTTAGAAAATGCCACGTCTGGTTTTAGGAAAATAAAATCTGTAAGTGATCCCAGTCCTTGCTGGCTAAATAAATTTTTCTCCTCTGCAGTGATTGTTGAGCTGCCAGAGTGGATGGGACTTGGGGGGCTACCGTGGTTCTTCACAGCCGTTCAGTTGCACCTTCACTGGGGGAATGAAGGCCCAGATGTCGGGGGCAGTGAACACACTGTCAATGGGAGGAGTTCAGACGCAGAAGTAAGTTTAAACATTGTCCTTTACCTGCAGGAAGTCATAGCACTGCAATAGAAAAATCACCTGTATTGCACAACTTATATTAAACATGTTGCTTCTGTATTCTAATATTTTCTATAATTACAATCCACAATCACAACGAGGGTCACAGATTTTTTTTTTCCTTTTTTGGGGGGATATTAATAGTTGTCTGATAATCACTGCTTTTTGAAGACCCTTAATGAACTTTAATGTACCTAGTTTTAATAATGCATGATCAGGATTAAGATGTTCGGCAACAACAAGAACGCCATCAGGCTGAAGTCTAACATTAATATTTACTCAGAAAGCTGTGAAGTCCCTGCTCTAAACTTCTATACCTTTAAGTTTGGCTAAAATGCATTGCTGCTCATATGGATAAACTAAATGTCTGCCTAAAGATTAAGCTAACTGGCCAAATCGGCAAGAAAAATATGTGAAGGAGTTGATATGAGTATCTTAAAACTGAGAATGCTATAGGAAGGGTCATTCACGGATTTATTGTCAGTGATGCAATCGTATTTCACAAGGTGGATGAAACACAGAAGTTGAAATTTCTCCAATTTCACCTCAAATCATCAACTAAATGGTTGAAACTCTGATGAAACATTTAAAAAATGTATGGAAAAGGTCTAAATTTTGATGATGAATATGTTTGTTATTCTCAGAGCACTCCTACACAGACCCAGGACTTGCCCGTCATTTATTTTAAAATCCAATCAGGATTCAGTGCGACTGTGTATTGTGCTTTGATCCTGAAAAGAATTATTTCTAGAGAACAAGTTTTTAAAGAGGGAAATATCCTGTAAAGATGTTAAAAATAAGAAACTTTGATGGAAAAACTGTAGAGAAGGCAGAAGGAGGATAAGCTTGAATTTTTCAGTTCCTGTCACTGTGCAGGCATGTCAGCAGCTCATTTAGAGGTAGGAGGAAAAGTCATGTGAGAAAATGTGGCCTTCAGTTGACATGGGTCATAAAAACAATGAAGGGAAAATGAATTAAAAAT